CATTGTGGAGGCGTAATCCCAACTTTTTGAATCATGAAATGTTTATCTTTAAAAATTTACCAGGTACCAAAAGTGGATGGATCCAGCAGCATATTTGCTAAACTCTATCTATGCAGACCCTAATCCACAATCTGGGCCTTAAAAATCCTGGTATCAACCACAATCCCTAAAGGATTTTTTATGTTCTGACAAGTCAGACTGTTTTGTGTTGTTTGTAGCTAATGATAGACATACACTGAATCACAATGGTTTTAAAGTTGATATTGTACAAAGATATATTAGCAACAACAATTTGCTGTCAGTTTGTAAAAGAAAACACATTTTTCTGCTAATTAGTTCATCCAAAACAAATGGAGCAAATGAGTTATTTTGTGCAAAAATACAGTTACCTCTTAGTCAAACCTTACAAGTCAGTCTCAGTGAGAGTGCACTGTTATAAGTCCTCTTCATTAAGCTTACAGCTGCACTGAGCACTGAATTAAAAAAAAAAAAACGGAAAAGAAAAACAGTAATTATTTTAAGTGTAGTCTTCATGTGCTGCCAAGAAAGCACGGGATGATAAAGAGAAGGTCTAAGAAAGAAAATTAACGCTGAGCTGGTTTTATTTTGGCTGAGTCTCAAATTAAAAAGACTGTARCAACAAACACTGAGCCTGCAGAAAACTCTCCAACACCAGCAGGAACCAAATACGCTTAATTGGTTTTGCACTTTTTGACAACTTAAACGTATAGTGACTCTTTAGGTTTTTGGATTCTTTATTCACTGTTTAGTCTTCAGTATAGTTGTCTTCAACATGCAAATTAGTAATTTAAAGTGATGCTTGTTGTTATTATCAGCTGCTTAATTTCAAGTGACAACTCTTATTTATCAGCCAGGCTTTAATGTCTGCAAGTATTAATTCAGGTATTTAAGATGATCTTGATGAAATTCACCTACTGAGATTCATTTTTCTGGAAAAAACAAAACAAACAACAACAAAAAAAAAAAACAAATATCACCTTGTCTGTTTTTGTACAAAATGAAAAAGAAGACTTCTATGGAAAAATGATGAAATAAAGAGGTATTTGTGCTACCTGACTGGTTGAGAGGATGAAATGGTTACTGGTCAGATACGTCTCGTCACAGAACATCTCTGGCTTCTCCATGTTCAGCTCCTTTGCAGTCTTTAGAAGTCCAAGGAGGTGATTGTCTATTGCCATTCCTGTTATCGCCTGAAGATCAAATGATTCAGATCAGTTAGCATTAAACATGACCACAAAAATGTTTCACGTTTTATAAACATCATTACAGTCATAAAATTGTTGTTTAAATGCTGGAAACTTTATTTAGGACTCTATTTTGGAGTTTGGAGCCAACTTGATTATCTGTATTTTGATGTGATGTGGCATTCTTTGAACAGTYTTAATTGTTGTGCATAGCTCAGTGAACAACCTTAGTTTGATGAATTAGAGTTTCATGCAAATGCAATGCTTTAAACCCTTTTATCACCAACAAGTTTGCAAAATGTGTTTATTTACATACTTTTGTGGTTATTCATTAGCAGTAAATAGTGACTGTAGCACTTCTGGGCGTTTCTGATGTAGATATCATTTATTATTTCTGCCAGAATAACCCTGTAATATTAAAAAAAGAAAAGAATCAAAGCAATGTAAAGGTTTATTAAATACCATTTGCTTGAACTCTGTTGTTTTTGTTGGGATTCAAGTTTCAGTTCAGTTTGGCCTTGTTCAAATTAGCTAATCAAACTAATCACTATTTCTACAAACTGAGGTTTTTCAAAGAATTGTCTAGARCAGATAAGATATTRACTGTTCACAACCTTTCCACAGAACCCTTCTTCAAATGAGTTAAATAATAAGCCTTTAACTTTATATTCRAACTCAAAAGCACTCCTCAGCCATAGCAGACACCTCATGTCAGAACTTAATCCACAAATGAACTGAGCTCAAAAATTTAACAGAACAGCAAACAATAATAAATAAATACAATAAATAAAAAAATGATATTTCTTTTCTGCACAAATGTTTATTTGCACTGCTGTATAGATGTATGTCAATACCCACATTATCTGTAAATTCCTGTAAATTATAGTATTGATGTTAAGCTTTTACATTTTAATTCCTCTTAGTGTGTTAACTTTCTGTGTGCTTGTTTGTTACGTTTTACACGTGTTCTCTCACCAAATCAAATACCTTGTATGTGTAACACAGCTAGCAAAATAAAGACATTCTGATTCAAAAGAAAGGGACAGAAGGCTGTAATCAGACAGATTACCCTAACAGCTGACATTTGCATAAGTTAAATCTGGAACAGTTTGATGCTTTATTTGCAACATGAGGTCCAAACTAGGAGATCAGTAACTGGGTAATGTCTTGTTGGGGCTTCTGTATGTCCACTGGCTGTGATCTCTTAAAGGGGCAATATCATGTAAAATCAACTTTTTTGAGTTTTATATCATGTTATAATGTTATACTCTCATAAAAAACATGCTCAAAGCCTTGCTTTGACTCATTCATGCATGTTGGAGAAATCCTGCAGTGTTTTTAGGCAGCCATGCTGAGGAGCAAAACGACAGGTGGGGACCAGAAACGCCCCTGGAATGTGTCTTTTAGCCAAACTTCCTCATCACGGAGCACACCTCCCCATCTCCCACCCTACACACCCCRCCCATGACTCCTGCACGCTCTAGGCAGTAACAAAGCAAAGTGAAAGTGAAACTTAACTGTCTGCTCACGCAGTGAAGCTCTTTTCAGATTCAAAATACCTTTGAGGAARTGTATTTTCAGATGTTAAGTAAACTGCATCATAGCGCACACACAAACCCCCCTACTGAAATTGACGGGACAGAAGCGGAAGGTGGTTCTTAAAGAGACAGAGGCCAATTTCAAGGTGTTTAGAAGAGGAAGTGATGAGAAGATAAGTTTATTTTCTATTTAAACATAAAAACAGCATTTTAATAACAACTAAAGTTGACATGGATACTTTATTATGGTATAGTATTTAAATGTATGCCTGAGAAACACATATTATAGACCCTTTAATAATATGCTTCAAGGCTTGTTGAGTGTAATTTACGTCCAAATTTAGTTTAGCACAGTAACTAATAAGGCACAGTAAAGAGGTGCCGTGTATTGCTTACTAATCCAACAACTATTAAAAAAAGGTGATAAAAAAAAGAATCTGCTGTAACTTTATGATACTTTGCCAAAGCCTGATTAATAGTTTAATTAGGACCTGAACAAAAGTTTTAGTTGGTAAAGAAAGGAGAATATATACTTCTTTTAGGCTTGTAATTTCTTTCAATATATATTTTTCATAAATTTAAAATACTCACAGCAATCGTGTAATCTGTCTGGGCCTTAATTGCATCCCGTAGCCGTTTCAGTTTTTCTGAATCCTGTTAGAGGTAAAAAAAAAAAAATAATAATAATATTTTGAAATAATCGTGCTGCCTTATTTATTCTAGTGTAGAAAAAACAGCAGCTCCAACTTCTCCTTCTTTTAGAATGACCAAATCTGCTGGGAGATCATCTGTTCGATCTGATAGTCCAGGTTTGGCTTTCCGAGCTGGCCAGTTCCACCTGTTTCATTTCGAGACGAGCAGAGCTGTGGGAGTCAATAATTGGAGGTGAAAGTGAGAAAAATGACTCACGGTGAAAACTGCTCTCTCGTCAGCCATGGACTTCACAAAAGCCAGGGCCTCGGCAGTGGCTGAGCGAATGTTGTCCACCCGGCCTTCTTGGAAACGACGAAGCGAYGCGCTCTCRTATGTGTGCACGAGCCTCCTCCTGCACCTGAAGTTTGATACAGTTTATCACCGAGATGTTTCTCTGTGTTTAATAAATACTGTGGAGATTTTATTTTACTTGTAAAATGCAAGTTGTAAGGCAACTTGAATAAATGCGTCGGGACTCATCTTCTGCTTTTTGATGAACTCTTTTCCGTATGTTTTGAACGTGAAAGCCTCCATGTCGAGATTATTCACCAGCCTGAAACAGAAAACCAATAAATGTGAGACTTATATCAGAGAACACGTACTGTAGATGTGGTTGTGAATTTGTTCGCTTCTTGCCTCTGGAGTCGATCTCCTGATGATTTCAGGAGGCCTTGAATTTGGGAGTTGCATTTCCAGAGCAGCCTTCTTGGAGGTGGAAGCTGTCTCTCACTGGGAGTCTTAGCCAGCTTGGAAGGACTCCCTTTTCTGTTCAGAACAACAAATCTTTTGTACAGCAATGTTTACTGACATGGCTGTAATCGGGAGTGAGAACTTACATGTGTTTCATCAGGTATTCAGAGCACTGCACCATAACTATCCCTTCAAATGGAGAATGCTCACACWCCACCCCACATACGCCGTCCATTCCTACGACAAACTAAGAGAAGGAAGATGTAAAAAACGTATCCAGCTTTTTAAAAAATAATAATGCAAGTGCCGTAATTATGACCTTACCTGCATTGACTTGTCATACCAGCGATTTGCACCGTTTCTTTCCTGACCGCCACCATGCAGCATCATAAGAGCCCTGCTGGTGTCGCTGGGCTGAAGCCTGCAGGGTTCATCCAAACACACCACAGCAACACAGCTCTCAACCAGAGCCAGAGAGTCCCTGTTGGTTTTATCTGGATACAGGAAATTACAGAACTGTTGGCCATCTCAGTTCTACAAAAGCCCGGACGTCGTGTAAAATGTAAATAAAAACAGAATGCACTGATTTGCAAGTCTCACAAACCCATATTTTATTCACGATAACACACAGTAAAACATAATTGAGGTTTAAGTTTGACATGTCTCCAACAAGTTGAGACAGGGGCAACAAAATGCTGTCAAGTTAGTCAGTAAGTAAGGGAATAAAAAAAACAGCCATATGAGTATTTTACAATGATTGTTTGGCAACAAGTCGGTAAAAGTACCAAATTTAAAAAGAGTGTTTTAGATAAAAGGTTGAATCTCTCAGAAGTAAAAATGGGGTGATGAGCCTGAAATTGATACACTGTTCCAAACCCTGCCTCTCTGATGGTATGGATGTAAATTTGTGCCTTTACCATGGCCAGCTTAGACATTTGGAAAGGCACCATAAATACAGATTTTAGAACAACATATGCAAATAAATAAATAAAAATAAAATAAGATAAAAATCCAGCAAAGGAGATCGACAATTTGAACAAACAAGTGTGGGACATTAAAAGACTCCAATAACTGTTTTCCACGGTTCCTGGATCTTAATCTGCTGTGAAGAAAATATGGGTTTATAAGATTTGAAAATCATTGTATTTATTTTTGATTTACATTTTACAACTATKTGGAAATTACGTTAATAAAACAAAGGTTCTGATGAACCTTTWGTCAGTTCCTCTCTTGCTTGTGCCCACTCCGTCCTGCCGTCTGATGTCAGGAGACCAACAGGAGGGTGCTGTTCTTCTGCATTTTCAGACATTTTCACGATCTTCTCCAGCTGGGATAAGATCTCGGCCTCACTGAGCTGCTTGTTGTTTGCGACCACATCCAACACAAAAAACTAGAAGAGAAATTTATTTTTTAATCAGTTGCAGATTAAATCAGCTGAACGCATCTTTATCATTTAGTTCTTTGCTGTGCAGCATCTGAACAGCTGATCCCGGTACGGTCATTAGCAACAAAACGGCCAATTGCTGCTGATAATATGGCTCCTCTGCTGCCATCAAGAACTGTGACTCGGGGACGCACTAAGACAAAGTGGCAGATTTGATTAGCGGTAATTAAGTTAACTTCATCCATCTCCATGGGGATGGACCCTCGCGTTCAACAGACGGCTCAAGAGCTCCCAGAATCATTTCCAGGTGAGAGCTCCTGCAGATGTTGGTGGCTTTGGTTTTTATGAGTTTGAGTGATTGATGAGAATCAGTCAGGACTTGTGCATTTTGGGAGTGAATTTGGCACGGAATTAGAGAGCAGCTGTTTCGGTGCAGGTGTTTTAACAGTGAGCAAGTTCAGGCCTCTAACAAAATGCCTCTTAGAAAAGTGAATAAAAGTTACAAAAATTTGTGATTATGAATTTTTTAAAGTAGACATATGTTTTTAAATCCTTCTTTTTCACATTCACTTGTAGGTCATTCAGTTGGAGTTTATATAAAGTTGGAATGAAATGTGTCGGTCTGAATTTCTCCTTTTTGTAGCTTTTCTGAGGTGTGTCATAGGTTAACTCACTTTGAGGCTGTCTCTTTGAATCCAAAGGAGGTGCTTTATGCCCCGCCCCCTTCAGCTTCCAGAGCTCTCCTTTTTAGTTTGATAAAGGGTTTTACGACTATATAGCTGCACATAAACTTCTTATTTACGTTGATATTAAAAGATGTCAACAACAGAAGACTTGTGATAGTTCAAAAAAGATAAAAAAAATGGTACAAAAATAAGACACAAACAATATAAGGTATCTACGCAGCACTGGGTGAGACTAAATACAAATTTTCTGCCCTGCTAGAAATTCCAAGTACACAACAAAATGTGTTTAACAGCTAAAAAAAGTGGATTTTGCATGATATGTCCCCTTTAAAATTCAGATTTGTCCATCAGAGTCAGAGGTATTATCCTCTGGTGTGTTTTATTTATTTATTTATTTGTTTAATTATTTATTTATTTATTTGTTTATTTATTAGTTTATTTATTTATTTATTTATTTATTTTTATTTTTGTCAAATAAACACAGTTGTTTTCTCTGATAGGAGTGAAACAATGAATCAAACCTGCTTCTGACCTGGTTCTTGCACGCCACGATCATGTGCTCCGGCACGGCGGAGTCTACACTCATGTGGACCTTCAGCGAGTCCGTCTTTAAGCCCGGGTAACGGTAGGAGTCGAAGAGGCGGTAGTACTGCTCCATGCACAGAGGAGTCCCAGCTAGCTGGCCTCGAGCAAAATCCAGCGGCAGCGCTCTCCTGAAAGACACGAGGACAGAYGTTCCATTCCCCCTGAGTCATCATTTATAGAGTTTTTAAGCACAGTGGCTGCAGAGTGGCAGGTGATTAAATACAAGCAGAACTTACGAATCAACAAGGGCCTTATATTCCAACACACCTCGGATGAGGTGAGCAGCAAACCTGTAAAGAAAAAAAGGACAAAATTTTAAAAAGATGTCAGATTTTGCACTGAAAATCTAAAAAGCACTGAATTATGACTATAAATAGATAAACAGTGGGTAAAATAAGTATTGAACACGTCAACATTTTTCTCAGTAAATATATTACTAGAGGTGCTAATGAC